TTTATTGATTAATAAAAATATAGTATGACTTGATATTTACTAGTCCATTATTTCTCTGAATTTACTTGTGTTTGCGTTGGTCTACAAGGTATAATAATTTTCTCTTTTCAGGCTTTTCCCGCTTATTTTGTACAACCTATTATATCGTGCATGTAAATGTTTAGAGTACGAACTAAATAGATACGTTTTTTCTATATTTGGTGTTTTTTTCGTTTTTTAAACTGAAATTCAAAATTTGCAGTTTATCTCTAATATCTCGAATAAGGTCTACTATTTTAGGGAAATCATGCATAAACAAAAAATATAAAGAATAACATCACATCTCCTATTTGAACTTTCTTAAAACATTGAATTTTACCCTTTTTGCCAAATTTATCGAATTAGGAATTTAGGAAAATTATGTAAAAACAAAAGTTATAGATAATATTATTGCAAACAACTTATAATTAAAGAAGTTGCTTTTCAAAACGTAAATAGCAGACATATTCCCTAAAGTAGAAAAATGACGCTCCATAAAATATTTTAAATCACTTTTTTTGTCCCCGACCTTGTTTTTGTCCTTGTTCTTGTTCTTGTCCTTTACCCTAACTTTTACCGTGTCCTTGACACTAAAAATAACTTTATTCTTTTTGTCTAACATTAAATATAAATGATTTTTAGTACATTCTTCTTTTCGAAAGTATAAAAGATTTAAATACACACACAAGTCGGCTTAGTCTGTTCAAAACGGTAAGAAGTGTTTTATAGGATCTTGGACACCAATGCTTTTTAAAAGGAGAACGTGTAGTTCACTCTGGATAGTAGAGTGCATGTGTGGACATTTAAGTAAAGATAGGACAAATATTGCTAATAATTTAAATGGAGGAAAGTTATTTGTAATGGGGTAAAGTTAACATTGCACAGTGGGTTAGGAGGGCATACGAGAAGTTCGCCTTGTTTCATAGTTTGACCCCTCCTTATTAAATCGTTTTTGAACTTCTGGTATGCCCTCCTAACCCACTCTGCAATGTTGACTTTGCCCCATTACAAATAACTTTCCCCCATTTAAATTATTAGCAATATTTGTCCAGTTTTTATTGATGTTCTTGATAAACTTACAAAAGTATACAGTGTGCTGCTGTCAGTAAAGTGTTTTCGTTAATAATAGCTGCACCGCATACTAACGATGAGCCTTGTTCCTCTGTATAAGCTGCCTGTAAAATGATAAATTATTATTTTTATTTTTGTAAAAATAATTATCTTAACTTCTCACCATATAAGGGAAATCTTTTATGTCAGCATCTTCACCCTCGATTATTTTAAAAGTGTATCTGCCTAAAAAATATATAATATGTTAACATGAAAGTCCGAAATTAGTGAATGTCGTCATACACCGGTTAATGTACGAGAAATATAAACAAAGCGCCCCACGCTTTTTTCACAACAATACTACTATTTTCCATTTATTATTGTTTTAAGGAGGTCCTTTCGCCACCCCTTTTGCCACCAATGTTAAATAAAAAATATTAGATTATGACTAAAATTTATTTTTTTTTCTAATAGTTGAAGTCCTTATTTATCTAAAAGTGAACTTTTAACTATACCTTACCGTGCAAATTTTTGAGAATTTGTTTTTTTTTAATGTGAGTATTTGTACAGTGTCTTACGAGAAAGTAAGACCTCAATAACAATTCTTGAATTTTACTATTATTTATTGATTAGATGGAGTAGAAAAAAACTAAAAATAAGGTTTTTGAAATATTTAGGTTTTGTTTTTTACAATAAAATATATAGGTTACCGTGGAATTTATTGAGAAATTAATATTAAAAAAAAATTTCAAGTAACCTAGTTGAAAATTTTTAAATATTTTTATTGTAAAAAACAAAACCTAAATATTTCAAAAACCTTATTTTTAGTTTTTTTCTACTCCGTCTAATCAATAAATAATAGTATACTTAATTATAATTCAAAAATTGTTGTTGAAGTCTTACTTTCTCGTAAGACACTGTACAAATACTCACATTTTAAATTTTTTTTTCTCTAAAATTTGCACGGTAAGGTATAGTTAAAAGTATTAGATAAATAAGGACTTCAACTATTAGAAAAAAATTAATTTTAGTCATAATCTAATATTTTTTATTTAACATTGGTGGCGAAAGAACCTCCTTAAGCTTATTTGAATAAAAACGTGTTAAAAAAAATTATTTTTAAATTTTTAGTTTGATATGCTCTAAAAGCGTGTTTTTTATTTTTTTTTAACTACATTTTTCACTTTTTAGTTCGATGTATTATAAAAGCGTGTTTTCTCTCTGTGTGTGTGTGTGTGTGTGTGTGTGTGTGTGTGTGTGTGTGTGTGTGTGTGTGTGTGTGTGTGTGTGTGTGTGTGTGTGTGTGTGTGTGTGTGTGTGTGTGTGTGTGTGTGTGTGTGTGTGTGTGTGTGTGTGTGTGTGTGTGTGTGTGTGTGTGTGTGTGTGTGTGTGTGTGTGTGTGTGTGTGTGTGTGTGTGTGTGTGTGTGTGTGTGTGTGTGTGTGTGTGTGTGTGTGTGTGTGTGTGTGTGTGTGTGTGTGTGTGTGTGTGTGTGTGTGTGTGTGTGTGTGTGTGTGTGTGTGTGTGTGTGTGTGTGTGTGTGTGTGTGTGTGTGTGTGTGTGTGTGTGTGTGTGTGTGTGTGTGTGTGTGTGTGTGTGTGTGTGTGTGTGTGTGTGTGTGTGTGTGTGTGTGTGTGTGTGTGTGTGTGTGTGTGTGTGTGTGTGTGTGTGTGTGTGTGTGTGTGTGTGTGTGTGTGTGTGTGTGTGTGTGTGTGTGTGTGTGTGTGTGTGTGTGTGTGTGTGTGTGTGTGTGTGTGTGTGTGTGTGTGTGTGTGTGTGTGTGTGTGTGTGTGTGTGTGTGTGTGTGTGTGTGTGTGTGTGTGTGTGTGTGTGTGTGTGTGTGTGTGTGTGTGTGTGTGTGTGTGTGTGTGTGTGTGTGTGTGTGTGTGTGTGTGTGTGTGTGTGTGTGTGTGTGTGTGTGTGTGTGTGTGTGTGTGTGTGTGTGTGTGTGTGTGTGTGTGTGTGTGTGTGTGTGTGTGTGTGTGTGTGTGTGTGTGTGTGTGTGTGTGTGTGTGTGTGTGTGTGTGTGTGTGTGTGTGTGTGTGTGTGTGTGTGTGTGTGTGTGTGTGTGTGTGTGTGTGTGTGTGTGTGTGTGTGTGTGTGTGTGTGTGTGTGTGTGTGTGTGTGTGTGTGTGTGTGTGTGTGTGTGTGTGTGTGTGTGTGTGTGTGTGTGTGTGTGTGTGTGTGTGTGTGTGTGTGTGTGTGTGTGTGTGTGTGTGTGTGTGTGTGTGTGTGTGTGTGTGTGTGTGTGTGTGTGTGTGTGTGTGTGTGTGTGTGTGTGTGTGTGTGTGTGTGTGTGTGTGTGTGTGTGTGTGTGTGTGTGTGTGTGTGTGTGTGTGTGTGTGTGTGTGTGTGTGTGTGTGTGTGTGTGTGTGTGTGTGTGTGTGTGTGTGTGTGTGTGTGTGTGTTGTGTGTGTGTGTGTTTGTGTGTGTGTGTGTGTGTGTGTGTGTGTGTGTGTGTGTGTGTGTGTGTGTGTGTGTGTGTGTGTGTGTGTGTGTGTGTGTGTGTGTGTGTGAGAGAGAGAGAGAGAGAGAAACAGCGTAAAAAATTTTTTACGGGACTTTTAGTAGCAAAATCATCATCATAGTTTATGGTGTTCATTATCTTTCCTTCTATATAGAGAACAGCTAAAGAATTCATTTTTTCTTCAGACAATAAAGACCTTTGATAATTTTTCACGGGTTTTGAACAGGAAAGACTCCTTTTCCAAAAACAATTTATAGCCGGAGTGGAAAGTGCGATGCGGAGAGCTCTATTCAAGTTAGGGTAAACATTACACACAGATTGATTTCTCAAAAACGTTGAGAGACTGAGTAGTGAGTTTGATACAGGCTTCACTGCACACTCTGCAGTTTTATTAGAGGAAATGTGACTGTGAAAATGCACATATTCTTGAACCAAATCGACGTAATATAGATAAAATAGGTACAATAACAGTAGGTAGGTACCTAGGATTGATAATTTTCGATAGGAATGAGTTTCTATAGGGATTTAACGTATTAGTAAAAAAACCATGAGAAAACCATGAGAAAACCAGTGAATTTGTATGACTTTTATCCTCTAAAATCGAGTGAGCGTCCTCTGAAATCTGCCGCCCCTAGGCCGCGGCCTACACGGCCTATTGACAAATCCAGGACTGACCAAAGATCACGTCATAATGACGGCATGATGTTGCATGGTATTCGATAATCGATATCCCACAAAATACAACAAAAACAAATAATGCTAACAGAAAAACTTGCAATATTTTTATGTTTTTATCTTTATCTTATTAGTTATTAGTCGTCTTGAAATGTTCATGTACTTAATATAAAGCCCACGTGAAACTACCGCTTTCATAAAAATGTCTATTCCAAGAAGTGTGAGAATAGCTTCACGGGCGTACAACTAGTTGAATCTTTTCCCATCGAAAAATTTTTGACTGAATCCAAGAATCGAACTCCAGAAAACACCCTCGTTGCGGTTTGTTTAAAAATGAAAGAAAAATAAACAAGCTAAAAGGTGGACTGCAAAATAGTCGAAATTAAGAAGCAAAATGAAATAAATTTTGGATATAATGATGTAGAGCTTTTTTTATGAAGCTAACGTTGATTCTTTTCCCACTCCAGTAAAATCTTTTCTAGAATACTTCGAAAGATTATTCAATGGCCACATGATGAACTTAGTTCCAGAAAATAGGATAAAAATTTCCAAAGCGTTGTTATTGTCTATTGGAGGGTTAAATAATGAGCTAATATCAACCTTTTTTTATCTGCTAAACAATAGTCGATTATACCCCGCAAAATAGGAAATGAAATCGGATAAATTAAAATGATCTATACCAAAACGACAACCAAATATCAGATTTACTAAAAAAAAAATCTATTTTTTAATGTGTATCAAGATATATACCATAACTCCTTTGTGGGAATTGTACTTCACTGCTGGGCCCCAATATATCCGTAGTATACTCTCGATTGATCGAAGTGTACGATTATTTCACAACATTTTTAAAGATACTAAAAATTTTTGGGTACGCCTCTGCCACATTCCATTCTTATCGTCGACGACCCGATATACCTCATTATTCTTTGTTGTGTCAAAGTGTGCGTATTAATTTTTGAATAAAAATGCCGAAACGGAAATGTGATAAAGAAAAATATCAGAAAATAAAAAGAAAATTGCAAAAACTGCAAGATATGTTGGAAACAACCCCTCAAACAGTAAGTACAAATAATGTATATAACAACTAAAAAGTCTTCCACTATTCACGTTTTTTGCCGGTTAAAAACTATTTAAATTGAATTTAATATTTGTTCCTCTTTATGCTAACAATATAGGGTGATACCTGTCCTTCTTTATGCGAATGATATCACAATAGCTATTTTTTTCTATTAAAAAGAATTTAAAAAACAAACGACATTTGGGTTTATGCCAGCAATGTTTAACATACACGTTTTTTGTGAGTTGTAAAATTTTTTGTGTATCATTCACATGCGTGCTAACTTATTTCGGTTGTGCTGGGGCTAAAATAAAATTAAACGTGATGATTGTTCTGCTTTATACAAACAATTTCAAGTCATTAAAAAAAAAATAGAATAAAATTGAACCTAATAATTAATCTGCTTCATGCTAAATGTTTCGAATATCTGTCCTGCTTTGTGCGAACGATATCACAACCTCCATTTTTTTTAAGTGACATTTGCTCTACTGTATGCAACTAATTTCGAGTCATACCTATACGTTTTTAATGATCATGACTTTTGATTTTAATTTATTGTCTTACTCTTACACAAAAGACATTTTGTCAATACATCAAAATTTTTCAGATGACTCAGACTCAAACCCAAGTCTAAGCTCCCACGGTGAGGTAGCAAATATTTCGGACTTGCTGGGGTTAGACTCAACTGCAGAGGCCACTGATGGTGCTCCTCTAAATGACGACATTGCGACTAGATGGAAAAATTATCTTACTAAAGGATTAGATCCAGACCAGGTTAGAGAACTAAGAGATAAATATAAAACACCATCTAACTGCAAACTGCTGAAACCCCCAGAGGTAAACCCAGAAATTGCAGCCCTGTTAACTGAAAGTAGCAAAAAGGGAGACACGTTTCTTCAAAAAATCCAGGTTTTGTTAGGCAAGGCCATGTGCGCATAGGGTGAACTCCTTAATGAATATTTAGACAAAACAGAAGAAGAAAACATTAAAAAATGGCTGATACAGGAAAACTTATAGCGCAAAATTTTAATAAGTTAAGCCTACA